TCACTGCAAGGGTTATTTCTGTAAAGAAAATACAAGACTAAGATGAGCAGCAGATGATAAAACTGTTTTAAATCTGTAACTTCTTCAGCAGGAAGTTCCTTTGCTCAATACAGTATCTACGGGAAGGGATAGATAAAGACATGTGTTTTACCTTCCAGTAGTAATGATTACAACACACAAGAAAGCACATGATTTCCTGTCTGGTATAAGGGCTTGGGGACCTGAAATTCTGCAGAAATCCTCCAGAGGCAGGTGGCTTTTATATAAGTCAACTCTAACTGCCCATTTCTTTCATTTCCTGGACCTGACATCCCCTCAAGCTGCGTCTGACCAAGAAGAATGCCTCTGAAAAACAGTTCCTCTCCATCTACAGAGATCTGAGAAGGCCCCAGGGAGGAGACACTAAATATGTAGCTGTAGACAGAAAGATTGGGATGAGTTACCCCACCACACACCCTACTCTCAACAGGGTGAATTCAGATGAGAGATTCTAACATCACAGTTTGTATCAACTGGGTGTGTCCTGAACTAACTCTTCAAACACTAATGTGGGTGAAAAATTCAATTAAATTAAATAAAAACATTTAAAAATCATGTATCGATTTGGATTTTGTTTGAAAACACAAAGATCCATTGGCACACATTGTCTCTCTGCCACTGTGTATAGGCCACAGTAAGCTTTAGTGGATAGCTATTATAGCTTCTTAGGTCAACCACAGCTACCCTTTTTTATCAGTAAGTTTCCTTAGAATGATAAAAAGTAAAAATCCTTTTTCTTTTTTTTCTTCTACTGCCGTTCCCTGGCAGATTAAAAGCAAATAGAACAGTGAGCAGTGGTGTCACACGCCTTTAATTCAAGCCATCAGGATGCAGGGGCAGGTGGATCTCTGTGAGTTTGAGGCCAGTCTCATCAATAGAACAGTGCCCAGGAGAACCAAGGCTGCACAGAGAAACCGTCTGCAATGTATGGGACTCTAGTCTCAGGTTTCTGGATGGATCATCACAATTGCTTTCACATCTGCACACATTCAAGAGCATTTTGTGGGTAGAGGATGCCTTCCCTGTTTGCTTCTGATAGAGTCAGACATCTTTTCTCAATTTATTTTTATAAGATTTATTGTATTTTATGTATGCATATGGTTCTACACAAACTGTGAAGGAGCCTTCTGATACCAGGGAACTTCAGGGAATACCCTGGCCCTGGAGTGGCAGGAGATTGGTTGTGAAGTCAACTAACATAGGTACTGGGAACTGAACTCAGGTCCTTTGGAAGAGAAACAAGTGCACTTAACCACTGACCTATTTCCTCACCCCTCCTTTTTCATTTTCTTGCTTTGTGTATGGGAAAATCCTACTGTACAGGTACAGAAATTGGAAGACATGAGGGAATTGGGTCTATACCTCCATTGTGTGGACATGGGACAGCATATCAGCCTTAGCAACAAGTGCCTTTACCCACTGAGCCATCTGTTTGGCCAACCTGATTAGATTATTATTTGGAGAATCACCATGTCATAGTTGGAAATTCAGTCTTCAAAATATAATAACCAATGGTGATAAAATTTGAGGAAGAAACAATTGGGCATTTCACCATCCACTTAACATTTCCTGCTCACCAAGAGCTTCTTCCTGCTAAACTCTTCCCCACTCCATCCTCTCTAGGTAGTCTGTGGTGTGGGAGGTCCTTCTGTCTATGTGTTGCTTTCATTGGTTAATGAATAAAGAAACTGCCTGGGTACTGGAGAGATGGCTCAGAGGTTAAGAGCACTGGCTGCTCTTCTGGAGCTCCTGAGTTCAATTCCCAGCAACCACATGGTGGCTCACAACCACCTGTAATGAGATTTGGTGCCCTCTTCTGGCCTGCAGGCATACATGGAGGCTGAACACTGTGTACATAATAAATGAATCTTTTAAAAAAAGAAAGAAAGAAAGAAAGAAAGGAAGAAAGAAAGAAAGAAAGAAAGAAAGAAAGAAAAAGAAACTCCCTTGGCCTGTTGATAGGGCAGAACTTAGGTAGGCAGGGAAAACTAAATGGCATGCTGGGAGGAAGAAGGCAGCATTGGAGAGAAGCCATGGAGCCACTGCAGACAGATGCTGGGAATTTTACCCAGTAAGCCACAGCCTCATGGCAATACATAGATTAATAGAAATGGGTTAAATTAAGATGTAAGACTTAGCCAATAAGAAGATAAAGCTAATGGGCCAAGCAGTGTTGTAATTAATACAGTTTCTATATGGTTATTTAAGTTCTGGGCAGCCGAGATGAACAAGGGCCTCCCTGTTACAAATTGGCACTCCAATGTGGTCCACTATATCCACATAAAACCTGAGAAAGCTTGAAAAGAAATTCTAGAGACAAAAACACAGAGTTTAACACAACTTCTTACTGTTTGCTAGTGGCATGCTGCAGCTCCTTTAAGAGAGATTTTCCCAATTTAGCCATAGCAGGAAAAAAGTTGCAGCCATTTTCAAATGCTGGCTTTCTGGGCCACTGCCAGCATGACCTCTGACTCTTACAGGCAGGAGGTCCAGCTACAGAACATTTGAGTGAGGTTTGTGAGCAGACTGCTGCAGCTTGATTAATGGCAGCATGGACTGGCTGTGTGCCTAGAAGTGGGGCGGTGCACATGGCTCAGTAGTGCAAGCAGCTCCACCATGCTAGACTTGGCTGGGCAAGCAGGCACTGACGTATTATCCGAGCAATGACGCAGCTTAAGTTTTTAAGAAGTGCTTAGCATTTTAAGAAGTGCTCCTGGACGGTATAGAATTACAGATACACAGTAGGACAGATTCAGACATAAAAGACCTATACATGGATCATAATGTTGGATAAATGTACATAGGCTTGGAAGAGAGAAGAAAATGAATATAGAGAGTCATAAAAATAAAGTTAATGCTTTTTAAAAAAGGTAAGGTCTTTAAAAAAAGAAAGAGTACAGACAGTCATAGATTAAAGGAGCAAAAACAATAAAATAAATATTTAAAAAGTAATAGAGTAAAAACAAGCCACATAAAGATGGAAAATTCATAGACACTCTGGATTATGAATACTATTATGTTGTATTTGAATTTTTTGACTGTGAAGGAGCTAAGTACAGAGAGACATTTCCTTGTATGGGCTTCAAAGCTAAACCAGAATGTATATTATAAAGGTATCTTGACTTCAGAATTTGGGTCTAAGGATATGGTGCTTTGGAAAAAAAGTTCTCCTTTTGTTTTCACAGAAGAGAACCTATGGATTGCTCCTAGACCAATATGGTTTGATAGACTGTGTCCCCCTGAAATGTTGCTGTGAACACCCTCAAAAAATTACTTCATCCAACTGGCAACTGAGATGAACCTAGCACACAGGATGCACCATGAAAGACCTGATTAACAGTGCCCTCAAACATCAGGAAGCAGTATGGACAAATCTATGCCCATATTCCCAAATATTGCCTATAAATGTTTGTTTACATTTAAAGGGAGATATGGTATAGATATGAATAATTTGCATTGGTATGGATCTTGGTTTATTGATATAAAATTAAGGTCAATTTTGTTATATGTATATGCATTTCTGATCTTGATTAAGGTATTGTGTTTGTGTAGTTCAATTAAAAATGTAACATATAATTAAGAAATATAGGTTAATAAATAACCATCTATAATAGTCAAGCTTTTAGTCATGTTAGTTAGATTTTTTCTAGATGTATAGAGATATATTTCAGTTAGATAAGTATTCTTCAAGTCTTTCAGAGAACTTCAGAATATGGCATTTAAAATGTCTTTAAAAAATGTAGGACTTTTCATAACAGTGAGACACATCTGCTCCTGGTGGCACCAAGCTACTTCAAGAAGAAGATAGGCATTGAAAAGGCTCCTTATGGAGTTGGTTAGCCATTTGGGCAAGAAACTGCTCTTGCCTGGACTGCTTAACTGGATATACATTACCTGCAGAGAAATGACTGCTGAACTTGCCTACAGATGAGACAATCCTTCAGGGTTCCTGCTTCATTACAGAGAAAGAAAGTGACTGAACTGTCTTTGAAATTTCATGCTTCATGGAAAAGTCTGCTGGATACTATGGGCCTGTAGGCTGAAGATGGATGCCCAAGTGTACAGAAGAACTTTGGGAGACTGTCCAAGCAGCAAGATGTCTCTGTCATTTCTAGAGTTCTGGAAGTTGCTTACAATGCACTTCCTGTTGACTTAAGTAATATTATATCCTTCTGGAGTCTTTGATGGAGTTAAAGGCTAGATAAATAAAGTTATAGTTTTCCTTAGTTATGATAAAAGATGAAGTAGATATAATATTCTAACTGTAGTTCTTGATTGTTACCTGTTTTATTATATGTAATTTTGCTATGTTAAAATTAAAGCCTTCCTTTTTGTTTAAATAGGAAAGGGAAAATGGTGTAGGAGGTCTTTCTGTCTTTGTGTTGCTTTCATTGGTTAATAAAGAACTGCTTTGAGCCTATGGCAGGGAAGAACAGAACTAGGCAGGGGAAAGGTAGGCTGTATGCTCGGATGAAGAAGGGCGGAGTCAGAGATGCCATGGATCCACAGCTGGAGGTAGATGTGCCAAATCTTTGCTGGTAAGCCACTGCCATGTGGCAATATACAGATTACTAGAAATGGGTTAAATTAATATAAAAGTTAGCCAATAAGAAGCTAGAGCTAATAGGCCAAGCAGTGATTTAATTAATACGGTCTCTGAGTGATTATTTCAGTTCTGGGTAGCCAGAAGAACAAGCGGCCCCTCCTTGCAACAACTCTACAAGCACAAACTCTGAGTCCCCTCTCAGGTTTTTATCCTAGGAAATTACAGCTATTCTCTGAGTTCCCCTCCTTTTAATCACTATCAATGCATGATCACCTCACCTTTGTGTTAAGACACAGGTCTGAAGCTTAGACCAGATTCCCATGGCCTTAATCAGGCAGTATGTCCTGCAACTCACTCTAGGACAGAGTGTAAAACCTATCTTTGCTGAAGCCAGAATACTCACAGTTTACCATACCTGGCTCCTCCATGCTCCTTGTCATTTATACTACACTGAACTACATCACATGGTGTGAAACTCCCCCCACAGCTAAAAGATTATCAAAGATCAGAACTTTTCATTGTTCTGGGGAGCAGGAGACAACTGCTCCAGGATGATGCCCAGAAATGGAGGGTGTTCTTAGAAGAGGCTCCTCAACTCCTCTCCATGATCATTCTCTTTGTATCTATTTCTTATTCTCTCACTCTCTCTAGTTCTCTCTTATTTTCACTTATTTTTAAATCTTTTAAAAGTACATCTTTTAGAATTTTCTACATGCATATTATAATTACATCTTTCCTACCCCCCCTTTCCCACTCTGCCTCCTCTCAACTTCTTGACTTATTCTTTAATTATCATTGCATATATTTATATACATAAATAAATGTATAAATACAATCTGATAGGTCCATTTAGTGTTGCCCATGTGTATGTCTTTATGGTTGACCACATGGGATTAGATAACTTATTAGGGGCTCATCCCTGGAGAACACTGACTCTCCTTCTCTCAGAACTCATTAATTACCTAGAGCTCTTTATGTAGGAGTGGAGTCTCTTAAGATTCCACAAGGATTACCCCAGCTAGAGCCTAAGCAATAGAGGAGAGGGTGCCCGAACTGGCCTTGCCCTGTAGTCCGGCTGATGATTATCTTAAATATCACCATAGAACTTTCATCCAATGACAGATGGAAACAGAGGCAGAGACCCACATTGGAGGACTGGACTGAGCTCCCAAGGTCCAGTTAAAGAATGGAAAGAATGAGAATATGAGCAAAGAGGTCAAGACCATGATGGGTTCTTCCACTGAAACAGTTTACCTGAGCTAATAGGAGCTCACAAACTCCAGCTGTACTGGGAAGGAACAAGTGTAGGACCAAACTAGACCCTCTGAATATAGTTGACAGTTGCATGGCTGGGGCAAACTGAGAGGCCACTTGGCAGTGGCACTGGGGTTTATCTCTACTGCATGTACTAGCTTTTTGGGATCCTATTCTCTTTGGATGTATAACTTGCTCAGCCTATGGTGCAGGACAATTGTATTCTGTCAATTATGTTTTAAATAAACGCTGATTGGTCAGTAGCCAGGCAGGAAGTATAGACAGGACAACCAGACAGGAAGTAGAGGCAGGGCAATGAGAACAGGAGTATTCTGGGAAGAAATAAGCTCCCTCCACAGTCCTGTACAGATAGAAGAAGGAAGATGTGATCTGCCCCACTGAAAAAGGTACCAAGCCATGTGGCTAACATAGATAAGAATAATGGGTTAATATAAGTTATAAGAGCTAATACAAAGCCTGAGCTAATGAGACAATCAGTTTATAACTTATGGAGACCTCTGTGTGATTTTCTTTGGGACTTGTCGGCTGTGGAAACTGGGCAGGACAGAAACCCCAACAAGCAGGTCCTTATCTTACAAGCCTAGATGTAGTAAAGAGGGTCTTAGACCTTCCACAAAGCAAAGTGCCTTACCTTCTCTTAGGATTAGATGGGGGTAGGGTGGGAGGGTGTGTGGAGGGAATGGTAGAAGGAGAGGGAGTGGGAATTTGGATTGGTAATTTTTTTAAAAGTCTAATAAATAAATAAAAGGGATTTCCCCATATATCATGCCATGTCAATTGGTACTGTTATTTTTCAGGCCTATTTATGCAACCATATGGTTAACTTTTCTTGGGTACAGCTTCTCTGTAACATATAGAATACACAACCTCACAGCAGATGCCCTGGTATTCTGCCTCTTACAGTACTTCCAATCCTCTTCTGAGATGTACCCTGAACCTAATATATTTCTATATATCAAAATTATACAGCTTAAAGAATAGTCATTTTTCTGACCATCCACAGATATATGTGTGCCCAGCAGATCTAATTTTTCACAAGATAAATACAAAAGCAGTTGGAAAACACCAAAAGCTATTCTTAGGGGGAAAAAATGAAGTGACTCATGAGAGAAATTACAGGAAAAAAAACTGTTATCTGACCCATGGCCATTCCAAGTGGGGCTCCTCATCAGAGAATCACATATCTGGTAGGTAGGGCAGCCTGTTGAATCTAGATATCACCTGCCATATACTCCCATAACCTCTGACACAATAAGGTCTAGTCCTCAGAGAAGAGGTTTCTGCATCAGGTCCAACTAGATTTGTCTAGACTCATGGATCATTTCCTTATCCAGTCATCATCAGAGAGGCTTCCTCTGGTAGCAGATGGGAAGAGAACAGATTAAGACACTCACAACAAATACCGTGTGTGTAAGATAAAGGACCAGTCAAAGAAACACACCCTGGCCCTGAAACCAGACCCAAAAGGTTAAAACACACCCTGCTCCAGACCAATTCATCATGAAAACTAACCAATCCTTAGCATGAAAACTAACCAGTCCCTGAGCACAAAACCCAGCCAATCTCTAAGCTTGCCCTGTAGTCAGACTGATGATTATCTTAAATATCACCATAGAGCCAGCAACTGATAGAGGCAGAGGGAGAGACCCATATTGGAGCACTGGACTGAGCTTCCAAAGTCCAATTGAAGAGTAGAAGTAATGAGTATATGAGCAAGGAGGTTAAGACCATGATGGGTTCATCCACTGAAACAGTTTGCCTGAGCTAATGGGGCTCACCAAAATAGTTCCTCTGAATGTGGTTGGCAGTTACATGGCTGGGGCACACTGAGAGACCACTGGCAGTGGCACCAGGATTTATCTCTACTGCTTACACTGACTTTTAGGGATCCTACTCTCTTTGCATGTATAACTTGCTCAGTCTGGATATAGTAGGGAGGGCCTTGGCCCTTCCACAAGGCAATGTGCCTTACCCTCTCTGAGGATTAGATGGGGGTGGGGTGGGAGGGTGTGTGGAGGGAATGGGAGGAGGGAAGGGAGTGGGAACTTGGATTGGTATTTTTTAATCTAATAATTTTTTAAAAAAGATGCTAGAGTTAGGGAGATGGCTCAGCGGTTAAGAGCATTACCTGCTCTTCCAAAGGTCCTGAGTTCAATTCCCAGCAACCACATGGTGGCTCACAACCATCTGTAATGAGGTCTGATGCCCTCTTCTGGTCTGCAGGCATACATGCAGACAGAATATTATATACATAATAAATAAATACTAAAAATAATAAAATAAATATTAAAAAAGATGCTAGAGCTAATAATGGGCTGTAACATGGAGGCCAGCTTGTTGGGGTTTATGTCTTTCCCAGTTCCCCACAACCGGCAAGCCCCAAAGAAAATCACACAGAGATCTCCATAAGATTATAAACTGATTGGCCCATTAGCTCAGGCTACTTATTAGCTCTTGTAGCTTATATTAACCCATTGTTCTTATCTATACTAGCCACATGGCTCAGTACCTTTCACAGTGGGGCAAGTCACACGTTGCTTCTTTGGTGGTCTGGGCTGGACTGCGAAGGGAGCTTCCTGCTTCCCAGAAAACTCCTGTTCTCATTGCCCCACCTCTACTTCCTATCTGGTTGACTCACCTATACTTCCTACCTGGCCAATCAGTGTTTATTTAAGACATGATTGACAGAATACAGACAATTCTCCCCCACCAATGAGCTAAGCAGTGATTTAATTTAAAGAAAGAAAGAAAGAAAGAAAGAAAGAAAGAAAGAAAGAAAGAAAGAAAGAAATGCCCCCCCACTCTGCTGTAGGATGAGAGGTGAGGTCACTCATTCATCACATCCAGGGTGACTGGGAGACTGGTCTTTGAACTGACTCGGTTGGAGACCTCACACTTGTATTCTCCAGCATCCTCACTCCTGACAGGATCTATTCTGAGTCCACACTTTGTTGGGGACAGAGTCATCCTCTCTAGGTGATGCAGACTCTGGTTGTTGAAGATCCAACGGATGGAGACATCAGTGTCAGGTGAAATGCAGGTGAAGACCACAGATCTATGTCCTGCAACTGTGGTGTCACTGATTCGCACAAAGGGCTGTGTCACAGACTCTGTGAAGAAACAGAGAGTACCAAATGATAGTCATCCAGAGAGTTCAACCAGGTCTCTTTAGTTCAGACTTTATAAATCTTCCAGGGCGGAGAATTTGGAGCTGTGATTATACACATAGCTTGAGCATTGGATCTGCCACCCAGGGACTGTGGGACCCTGAATCAGGCACTGTTTTCTGTGTCTCGGTTTCACTAGGATAGGACACACAATGCTTGATCATTGCCATGTCCATGAGTTAAGCTTAGTTGTGAGCAATGGTCTGACCTTGGGGTGGAGAAGCTGCTGACATCAGCAGTATCTGCTACTATTTAGTGCCAAAGAGAATTTTATAGACCCCTGCAATGAAGGAGGGATCTGGAGCAGCTGCCTCCTCTGCTTCTTCCCTTGGTGCTTTGCCCATCCTGTGAAGTCTCATAAGTCCATCAGAGCAATAGGCTAATGGCCTGGACACCTGTGCACTGAGTAATAAAAGGAGATGCACAGGTGGCCTACCTAACTGCAGCTGTCATGGCAGTACACAGCTGGTTCTACACTCTATGGGTAGTCAGTCCCATGTCTTGAACAGTCAGTAAAGTCCTGGTCCCTGTTAGCTCTGAGAGGAAATCTAAACAGTTACAAAAAGCTCTCCAGTGACACCTTGAATCCAGCTATGGGCAAAGTTTTGGAGACAGGGCTTCCTGGTGCTCTCTATGAGGACCGCATGACTTCATCAGCCAGTGCCTGCCTGACTCCCACAGAGTCTTTATGGAGACATGTACATAGTGAGACACATGGACAAGTGTCTGGGCTGCAGCTGACATCCTGAAGCTGAGTTTACACAACACAGGTCCTCCTCTCTTCAGGTAAAAGACAGGTGAGGGGTTCTGACCTACTACAATTTGTCTACCCCATGTGTGTGCTGCAGTAGGGGCCCAAACTCCAGTGTGGGGACGCAATGCAGTAGGGGAGAGGGCAGACACAGCCCAATCCTGACAGGTTAGTATATGAAGTGGGATCAGACACTTCAAGCCATTGGAGAACATAGAGAGTCACTTACTCTTTACATAAAATTCCACGTATGCTCTTTCAATTTTGAAATCTTTGTTTAAAACTTCTAGTGTGTACATTCCTGCATCTTTCTCAGTGACCTGGAACATGAGGGATCCATCACTTAACATCATCCCTCTTCTTTTGCTTTCAGGCCCCCAGGAGATGGAATTCATGGCTCTGCTGTATTCTACAATTTTAAGGACCTGGATGTTATTCTTTGATTTGTACCAGGTAAAGGCTAGCAGATCTTGTGGAAGATTATGAACTTGGAGAACAATGCCTTCCCCTTCAGCAGCATACAGAGGCACCGCTTGGATCATGAACCGGGAAGAAGCGAGAGGGTTGCAGCACAGAGAAAGGGAAGCTGGAAGGGAAAAGAGAAAAAAATCCATCACCTGAGGATCATTGTGCTTGGTGAATAGATGGTGACCTCCATTCTGAGTTGATGGGTTTGTCGCTCAGCAGGGGTGTGTGGGTGTGTGTGTGTGTGTGTGTGTGTGTGTGTGTGTGTGTGTGACCCACTTAATGAAGGGCAGAAACATGACTTCCTCCTTTCCACAGTGCCCCCAAAACTGTCATGGCCTCTGCATGGAGCTGTCCCCTTGGGTGTCTACATGACTGCTCCCTCACTGCCCGTAGTCAGATACTGTCCACACTCGTGCACACTGGGGTCTGAGATGATACCTCCCCTGAACTCAACAGGCCAGGATTTTTCTTCAGTTTCTTTTGAGGCAACACTCAGCCCCTGACTTCACCTAACAGATGCAGTTGCTTCTCTGTCAGGTAACCCTTAGATCTGGAGCTGCATGGAGACTGGGAGCAATGTGATCTTCAAGATAGACTCAAGGCTTTAAAAGGCTTGGGTACTAGTACTTGGGTACCAGTTAGGATGGTTTTAGGCCAACTTGACACAAGCCACAATCATTTGGCAAGACAAGGCCTCAGTTGAAAATGCCACCACCAGACTGGCCTGTGGGCAAAACTATAGTACATTTTTAATTAGGGATTTATATAAAGGGATTCAGACCAACGCAAGCAGTTCAAGCCCTGGGCTAGGAGCTATGTGTGATAGAAGAGAACCGAATGAACAAGCATGAAAAGCAAGCCAATGGGAAGCACTTCTCCATGGTCTCTGCACCAGTTCCTGGATTTTATTTATGACACTCAATTTGAAACTAATAAACACCCTAGTTTGACATGGATGTTCTAAAACCATTTTTCCCTATCTGCTTTGAAAGGATTTAAGAGTAGAGCACTAGAAAATGCTCCCCTGGGTCACTTTAAATCAGCCTTGGAAAGGTAACAGGATTCATGGCTCCCTGGTCCAGAGCCCCAAGAGACCGAACTGACTTTGGCTGAGTTATTTTTTATCAAGGTCTTCCTTGAAGTAGGTGGATTCAGAAGATTGAAGGTGATCTATTTGTCTCTACCAGTGTGTCCTGTACTAAGTACTCAAACCTCCACGTGGGGACACAGTGCAGAGGAGAGGGAAGGGATAAGCCAGCCACAGCAGTCCTGTGTGTCTAAGCCCCACCCAGCAGTGAAGAATCACAGAGACTCACTTACTGTGGACCTGAAGTTGCACCTGTGTCTCTTCACTTCTCATGTCTGTTCTCAGGATTCGTAGGGTGTACAATCCAGAGTCCTTCTGAGTGACACCATAAAGCAGCAGGGATCCATCACTGTGCAACGTCTCTCGACCACTGTATGCTGACCCCCACACAGTTGATTTCCTATCTATTATATATTGGGCAATCTCAACTTTCCTGAACACAGTCATCTCTTTGAACCAGATATAGGCTACAATATTTTCTGGTGGATTGTGAACGAGTAGAAGAACACTTCCTCCTTCAACAACCCTGGGTGGCACTGATTCAACAGTGGGCTGGGCAGAAGTATCAAGGCGCCCGCAGGTCCAAAGGAAAGCTAGAAAGAAAGAGGGTGAGCCATGAGACCCTGTTTCCTGAGCAGCTGTGTTCATTGCTCAGCCTCGCTTTGTGGGTGAGTGTCTCCCAGTCTTACTTGACGGAGGTCAGCACATGGTATCCATGTTCTCAGTGTCCCTGCATTTATCATTTTGACTATATGGCTTTCTCTCTTCAGTTGTCAATATTGCCCCAGTTTACTGCCCTCAGATCCCTGCTCACATTTACAGTGGATGGTGTTGGGGGGCTACTTGCTCAGCTTCTTCTCTACAGACCCTGAGGCTTCACTCTCTGGCATTGATGTTGTGTTCCTCTTAGGGTTGCAGCCAACACCTGAATTCACCATCTAGCTAGGCTTTTTCAAGTCCACAAAGACTGGGACATTATATAAATAAAAAAAAACCTCAATTTGTCTTATTTTTAAAAAAAGAAAGAAATATTGCCTAGAAAAAAAAAAACTTGGGTACCTGTAAGAGTCCCATGAACTGTGGGTGTCTGTGTTCAAAACACTGCTCTGCCCATCCAGTCTTGATGCTGCTCAGTGTCCCTCTCCCCTTCTCTCCTTATGTTTCTGTCCTTTAGGACATGGCGAGAGTCAAGGGTAACGACCATACCTGTGACATGAGAAAATAGCAGCTGGCCCTGGGGCTGCACTCTGCGTGTCCTGGCCTTGGTCTCTAAGCACCAAAAGATAACATTGCACAACTGTGTGACACAGAAACCCATCTGGCCACGCAGTCTTCCCTGTGTTTTCAATGTTCAGTAAACACAGAATTTGCTCCCAGCAGGAAGTTGACAGAGAAATCTGTGAGGCTCCAAAGGGACCAGCTGAGTGATGGATGGGAAGATATCAAATCTATTCTCAGTGGAGCCACCAATCAAAGTTCTGACCAAGTTCAAAGGCTCAGCATGGGTCAGGAGTCTCACATCCTGAGTGTATGGGAGGAGGTGGCCTGTTTCCTGGCCTGTTTCCTGCTCCTTTGTCTCATGCAAGAGTTCAAGACCATGCTCCCACTCCCTGTGTTTGCTGAGCTGAGTAATGGGTCTGCCCATGTGTTCCATGGTCTTCTGAGATACCTTGGACCTCTGTCTACTTCATTCCCCTTGCAGATTGTCTATTTCCCAAAGGAAACACATAAAGGGAACCATGGAACATGATCACCTGGCAGAGCAGCAGACACATTAAGAAGCCAGGAGGTCTGAGAACACTGTGATCATGATTTCCAGGTCTGAAAAAAACAGGGGTGGTACCAGCTACTAGGTAAGGTCCTTCTTCAGGCAAATTCATTCCCACCAGCTGTTTGTGTGTCCTGCTACCACCCCTGGTGATCACTAGGGGAGCTGAGGTTCACATCTAGGAGCTGCCAGTGTAGCCTGTACCACTTACTGCAGATTGAATTCCTTGAGCTGGACCCCAGAATACAATGGTCAGGAGGACCTTGGTTTCCCTGACCTCCCTGAGAAGTCTCAAGTCCACCAGAACAATAGGTAATGGCCTGGGCAGCTATCCCATTATGTATCCACATTCAGTCTCTGGAGATCTCTGGGGGACCTAGACTAACCATGTCTCTCATGACAGAGCACAGGCTGTTTCCAAAGGTGCAGGACTCGGACTCCTGAAAAAGCATTGTTCCCTGCCATCAGGAAGTCAAAATCGAACACTTGTAAAAATGCTTCTCAGGGCTAGCTGGAGTTGAGTCTGGAACACAGGTCTAGAGCCAAGGCATCTTGGTTCTCACAACTCTGTGAGAATCCCAAATTATCCTCTACCAGGCCCAATAGTGATTGCCTCTAGGTCTTTCTCAGGGACATACATATTCCTGATAAGAATCCCAAGGGTCAAGACAGAGGCTGATATCCTCGACTGAGTTACCCACCATCCACCTGTCTCAGGGTGAAATCAAATGTAAAATTCTGATCTTCTGCCATTATTCTATGCCATATGTGTCCTGCACAGAATATTGAAACCCCAAAACGTGGTTGCAGTGCACAGGGGAGGAAGCACAGGCCACTCTACTGTGGGTGTCCAAAGAAATGGACCCCACCCAAAACCCAAAATTCACAAAGATTCACTTACGGTACACATAGAGGTGCATGGTTGTTGTTGACACAATCTCTCCATGTCTGTCTAAGGTTCGTAGGGTATAGAATCCTGTGTCCTTCTCGGTGACACTTTGGAGCAGCATGGATCCATTGTGGTACACTGTCTCTCTACCACTATGTGCAGGCCCTGTCGCACTTAAATTTTTGTTCAGCGCATATACTGCAATTCCATGCTTCATGCTTGTTGCCCCTTTGAACCAGGCGAAGGCTAGAAGATCCTCTGGCAGATTGTGGACATGGAGAAGGACATCTTCTCCACTGGCCACATCGGGTGGGACAGATTTAACGGTGATATAGTCAGTGGTGGATAGGCAGCAGCCTAAAAGTGTGGCTAGAAAGAAGCAGAAAAACCACCAATATTGAGAGGATGTGATCATCACTCAGCTTAGGTGTGTGGTCAGGGCTGTGCCCACCCTCCTTGGTAGAGATGAGCAACATTACTTTCATTGACTCAGTGTCTGAGTGTGTCATTAACTCTTTTAGGAACCCTCTACCCAGATGTCTGCCTGGTTCCCTCCCAGTGTCCCATATCCCTCCCCATGCAGAGGATTTGGTTGAGAAGCAATGCCTCTCTGAACTCCTCCTCTGAAGACTCCTCACTTTCTGTCATTCGTCTCTGTTCCATTTGTAATTCTAGTCAAGTCATGACTTCGTCTTTCAGATATACTGACATCAGGTCCACTAGAGCAAGGGCATTGTGAGGACAGGTATTAGTCTGATCTTTTTGTAAAGTTAAGTTCCTGGAAAAGATTCAGACACAGGTAGATAAAGAAATAAAGGAAAAGAGAAGGAAGAATGAGGGAGGGAAGGAAAGAAGGAAGAAAGAAAAGAACGAAGGAAAGAAGGAAGGAGAAAAGAAGGAAGAAAGGTAGGAAGGTAATAAGGAAGGAAGAAAGAAAGTAAGGAAGGAAGGTAGGAAAGAAGGAAGGAAGGAAGGAAAGTAGGAAGGAAGAAGGAATGTGGCCCCGTGGGATTCTCTACATAGTTTCCAGTTTGGAGTTAATGACAGTAATTATATTCAAATGTGATTTAAATTATTTTAGATTTACTCATGTATTGTATTTATGTATTTATGAAGGCAGGTGTCTCCATGTGTGCATGAGAAAGGTCTACCACAAATCTGTGTGGAGGAAAATGTCTCAGTGTGTGCAAGTGTAAGTGTATGCCATAACACTGTGTGGACAAAAGTGTCTCTGTGTGCCCATGTGTGGGTGCTAGCTATGACACCTGTATGGAGGGCAGAGAAGCCTGTTCTCGCCATCTACCCTGTGGGTGCTAAGGACTGAATTCAGGTTGTCATGTCTCCACACACTGAGCCATCTTACTGGCCCACCCCTGTTTGATTTCTACTTGGAGAATCACACTGTCATGGTTGGAGACATCAGGCTTCAGAATACGGTGGCCAATTTACTTCACTGTGAATATTGAGTGCTGGAGGCTTTTCTCTTCCCCTTATCATCGCCAGTCCACCAAGAGCTCCAGGCTGCTGAGCCTCTGTCCCTCACTGTACCTTCTGCCCCACGACAGCAAACAGAAACCTGGAGTCTCATCTCAGGCACCTGTCCTATTTAGGGGGCTCCAGCCTGCTTCTGAGACCCCCTCCTCATGCATTCAGAGAGTGGGTCCACTTACCTGTGAGCAGGAGCCCCTGCCAGAGTGTGCCCTCTTGGCAGAGAATCACCAAGGACACCCCCATCTCTCTTCTCACAGTGCAGTCCTTTCTCCCTCTGAGCTGAGTGCAGGAGCACTGTAGAGAATCCAGTGGGCTGCTGGTGCTGGTTTTTATGTGCAAGGCCCTGCTCCATCCCTTCCACTCCCAGTGCTTCTGGCATCCATCTCAACTTCCCTTTATGTTTCTCCTCCAAGTAGCACATTGAGCAACAAGGCTGATAAGCATCGCCATGCCCTCAGAGAACAATGGCTCATCCCAGGGCTGACACAGGCTGTGTCCTAGCCTTGGGTCTTTCAGCTCCAGAGGGAGCCTCCATTCTGCCTATGCATCCTGGTGACACAGAGAACCAGCTGAGCACCCATTCTGTCCTGTGTTCTCAATGCTCTGGGAAGGTGGGAGTTATTTAATCCCAGCAGAAAGGTGGCAGCGATGCCTGTGAAGGCTGTGAGAGACCGGAAGAATAGCCAATAGGAATGAAGATCGATCCGGTATCACTAGTGTCACCAAAGTTCTGATCCAGAAGAGAGGGCCAGAAGCATTAGTTATGTGAGGAGTTTCATGTTCTCGGTGTTGGAGTTGAGGTGACCTGTGTGTCCTTGAAAGGACTGTAGACTCCCTCTTTCCGTGGAGGGTTTCAAAGCTACATCTTGTGTTGGCCGAGTGGTGTGTTGAGTGAGCCCATGTCCTCCCTGATCTTCCTAGGTTACCTTTGCCCTTTGACTAGGTAATCCCCTTGTGGTAATCCTATTTTTGCATGTGAGAGATACCAAGAAGGAGGTGACTCTCTTGTTCCTCAAGCAGAGAGGTTATCTCGGACTAAAGAAATAGAGTAGGATCTAGGAAGAGAGTTTCGCGTTAGTAGGGACAGGGATGGAAACCAGTCTCCTAGGCAAGGCCATCTTTCAGAGAAACAAGTTTCTGACTGTTGAGTGAGTGTCCTGATATTGCCACCTGGAGATCGCTGGAAGAACTGCAATCTCATGTCTAGGGTTACAGCAGGCATGGCCAACAAATTAACTGTGAACTGCCCTGAAACCCTCAGCAGAGGTGGGATGCAGGCCCCATACTCCTGTCCACTGTGTTCTTCTGGACTCCTGATTCCATTGAGTGTTTGGTGGGTCTGTGCAGGGTTCCAAATTTGTCCTGGGAAGCCCTGGACAATTTGGAAGTAGTATGCCTCCAGAAGATGGGGGTCCTCGGTAGGAGCTTTGTGCCTCCAAAATTTTCAAAGGAAAGTACTAGGGAACGTTTCTTCAGATTCAAAGGAGAGGACACTAATGTAGGGTTGCACCTACACTTGCTGCCCATCTCTGGTGTCTAAGTCGTCCATTCTCTTTGCCCACACGGTGCTGAGGGGCTCTGCTCTTGAGTACAGAGAACATTGATTCAGATGAAGGTGGTGTCTGCTCTTCCCTGTACACTGCTCTAAATTTCTTTCTCTAGCTATGATTTTTAAAAAAATACCCTGAGCAAAAGCAGTTCAGGAGAGCAAAGGTTGTGTTTCCTTTCCAAGATTGGGTCCCAGTGAAGGAATGAAGGAAGTCAAGCCAGAACATGTGCTGCTTGAAGATTAAGTCCCTGGTTCATCCTCTCACTGTGCGCCTTAGACACAGCTGGCTTTATACAATCAAGAACTGTCTGCCTAGGGATGGTGTTGCCCACTTCAGCCCAGCCTTCCTGCATCAATTAAGACAATCCGTCACAGAACACGTCCACAGTCCGAAACAATAAAGACAGTGACTCAGTTGAGACTCCTATTTCCCCCAGGTGACTTCTGACTGTGTCAAGGTGACAGTTAACGCTGACTAGGACACTGTTTCGAATCCTCCTCCTCCACAGGGGGATGTCAAAGGAATTGCCCCATTCTCCAAATGAGTGTCCCTCTTGGTTTGCTGCGCTCATCTCCTGTCCCGGTGTCCACTAAGAGCCAGGGCACAGCTCAAGGATGACTACCCTGGGTCTCACTTTTCCCACTTCCCAGATCCGGAGCCCACGGACACTGTGATGTCCACCGCCGACACTGTGAGAGTTAATAAAGCAGCTAAGTGTCATCCTGACTCAGGACAGGCCTCCCAGGCATAGTCATCACCTGCCTCTTCTGGAATCAGAGCAGAAGCCAATCACCAGGTGAAATAAGACAGGGGCTGGGAGCATTTCGGGTGAAGGAACATGAGCGTGGTTCAGAGCACTGGATGTTCCTTCTGGGTCACTGAGATCAGGGAGCAAATAGAGGGGATAGGAAGGCAGGAGTTAGTGACAGAAAGAAAAATCTGCTAGACCTTAAGTACAACTTCTGCTCTTGGGAAGTTCCTCCCACCTAGGAGAAAGCCCTCCTCACACTTCAAGACCAATCCAGGGTTACCCAGGACAAATCACAGAGGCAAGTAGAGGAGGGAGGATCATAGCTGCAATTTCATGAGAAGGTTGGGATTTGTTTGTGCCCATGACACCAGCTTGGAATTAAGCTCTGTATCTATCCATAAAAACAAGGCTTCACCCAAGCTTAGTGTTGACATTTCAGGGATCGATTTTCCAAGACCTGTAATTTTCTTCATTGAGGTCCTATTGAGGCAATAGCAGAGTTCTGGGCGTGAGAGTTACAGGATCCACTATTATTAGTAGTGATGTTAGGGATAAAAACCGCTTGAAAGGATGATTGTGGCTTCCCATTGATGAGCAAATGCATGACAGGAGAGGCTGAGGTTTGTCAGAAATAAGTATTTGAGGGGGATATGTTCAGGTCATCTGGACCATCTGGAGCAAACAGAACAAAGTCACATGTGATGTCAACAGAGGGAAGGGCAATCCTGGACTGCAGAAGGCCACACTGTCTCTCTGAGCTGAGCAGGTCCCACCCAGAGCTGGGGTGCAGATCAGTAGAAGAGTATTCATGCAGCAGGCACAAGTCCTGATCCATCTCGAGCACAGCACACAAACATCCCCACTGCACACTCACTGTGCACTAAGCCTGAGTCTGAGCTGTCCCCTGTCTCCATCACCCTGAGCCTCTCTAGGAAAAAAAAATTCCTCCAGCCCCTTCCAGATCAATGCATGTGCTTGGACTAGGCCAAGAGGTCCTGATCAGCCTAGGTATCTGTGTGGTAGGTCTGTATCACCAACCCAAGGGGGCCAAGTGTCCTAGCTCTAGTCCTCTGTATTTCGGCAGTTGTAGCCTGGATGAAGTAGAAAATACTCATAGCGAATGTTCAGGGTGAATGGGTCCCTTTGGATAACACTAAGTTTCAGATTTCACACTCACGGGGCCCTGGTCTGTTAGGACACTGAATAAGTGAGAGGCCCGTTGCTCTCTGACAGTTCAGCCTGTCACCTTCGGAGAGGCTTTGACCACTTATCCTCCATAAGTAGGCTGTATTCTGACTCTCAGGTTCATGCTTTCAGTCTACCATCCTCACCCTCCATGGTTAGATTGCCGCTTGTGATGGTGTGTGTGTGTGCAGACAGCAGAGACAGATGTAAAACCTCCGGTCCTCGCAAAGGCCTCTCCCATCAAGTGTTGGCCTCTGTAACCTCCATCCACAATCCATGGCTTTGACAAACAGGCAAAAGATGACTCACAAGCAGATGCAGGAGAACCTGAAGGCTCAGAGATGGTGGGCCTCCTGTGTTGCGTGGGAGGAGCAGTGTTTGTCATGTGTGAGCTGGGCCTGGTGATACAGACCTAGGACCTGGAGTCAGATGACCATTGTCTCTTAGAGATGAGACATGGTGACACTTGCATTGTAATTCCACAACTGGTCCTCAGAACTTAATGTTTTGACACAGGCGAGCAAAACACCCATAAACATGAAAATAAAATAAGATGCTTTAATAAAGAATAAATAAATCTTTTTTTTTAAGTTTCCCGTTTAGACTGGCAGTTGGTGATTGCTGGGGGTGACCTGTGAGTGGTCACTTAAAGAATGTTAGGTGATTGATAAACATCTTTCCTGGTAGACCATTACTGAGGATGATGTGACAGAGAAGAACCTAGACAAACCAAATTATTGACACAAATTAATGTCTGAATGGGCATGCCCTTGGCCAAGCTCCTGCTTAAAGTAGTTTTTGTTTTAAATGTCAGAGAATACTTGTTTTAAATTTTTCAGGAAAACCAGAGCTGTTACACAGAGAGACCCTATCTTGAAGAGAGAAAGAGAGAGAGAAAAACACTGGAAAGATAGCTCAACAATTAATGTATAATAAAAAAAGATAGTTTTCTTTTTTAAAAAATAATAATAAAGGCATTTAATACTTGGAAGGAAGGAAGTAGGGAGGGAGGGAGGGAAGGAAGAAAGAAAGAAAGAAAGAAAGAAAGAAAGAAAGAAAGAAAGAAAGAAAGGAAGGAAGGAAGGAAGGAAGGAAGGAAGGAAGGAAGGGTTATGAAGCCTTGTGATAGGACTGTGCCACTTATTACAAATTCGGATTTGTCCCAGGTTCCCCAATCCTGTGTATTTCCTATACTCTAGAATAAAGCTAGGCTGATTCACCAAAGTTGTCTCCCGGAGGGCTGTCTCAATCATACACACAGCCATCCAAGCCCTCTTCCTTGCTTCTGCTCCCTCCACCCTCATAGACCAACGCACCAATGATCTGGAGAAAGAAGAAGAACTATAGGAATGCTTACTTTAGAAACACTATAAAGGAAGTGACTTTTGATTGAGAGTTGAGACTGTTGATTCATCAAAGTCTGGCAGAAGAAATTATTGGTATTGAAGGTGCTAAAACCAAAGCACTTTGAGAAAACATTCAGACAACAACCGAGCTTTTCAGGGAATGCTGTCCTCATTCTATGGACGCAGTTGCTCTTATGGGAGGAATAACTGATAGGGTTGGAGAGTGCTTCAAGATCATCCTTGACCTTATATCTGAGTGTCCCATCAAAGGACATGCACAACCTTATGATCCCAACTTTTATGATGACACCTATGCTTATGGTGGTTTTATAATGAGGTTTGATGACCGCCCTGGATGTCCTGTGAGATTTCCCATATGGGGAAGGGGATACTGGCAGAACACCTCCTGGT